ATAATATTTATATATTTGAACTTAATTTCAATCGTTCATGAGCTTTCGATCTGTAGCTATGATTAATTAAGGATGAACATATCATTTTTGTTTTGATCGATTTCAGCACGATTCTTCTGTTAATCTTGGAGAATAATTATAGATTCTTATTGCTCAAAGTAGAGTCCGGTAATGTTATAAAAACCTCGGAGAATTCCAGTAAGATATCGTTAATCATTTCTAAGTTACAATGTTTCAAGTCTTAATGTAACAATTCTGTTTATCGCTGTTTATTAAATTTATATATCTATTTATCTATATTACGTCACGTCTATTTATTTAGCTCTCTCTCTATCTCTCCGTCTCTCTTCTTATCTGAGTTGGTTTATACTGAACTCTACTGTCATTTTCGGTGTGTGAGGGTACAGCGACATAGTTCTTAGAACCGAACAGCCAGGTCAACCGGGGCATACGTTTTGATTACAGGTGAAAGCTTTTGATCTTTTAAAAATCACGCTTTTTAGAATATCAGAATACAAAGAACTGGTGTACATACTTTGTCAAAAGGTTCCCAAACGACCTTCACCGGGTATAGAGTTTTCCTTCTCCTAGACAGGTTGCTATCCAAGCCTATAAGATCCGGTTTGTCTTGTTATTTACCGATAGATGGAGGTAGAAGTGATGAATTCATGCCTTTCCCAGGGGCGTTAACATCAAACTCGACTGGAATTCAAGATACACTCTTGGCTATACCTTAGTCTGCAGTTGTCTCATATCTATCTATCTATCTATCTATCTATCTATCTATCTATCTATCTCATTTTGTTCATTATATGTTACAGTTTCTGCATATATATATATATATATATATATATATATATATATATATATATATATATATATATATACACACGTGTGTGTGTTTGTATGTGTTAAAGTAAAAAAAAATCAGTTGGTATATAATCCAAGTGGATATTAATAATCTAAAAACATTAGAAGTGTCCCACAAAATGCGCTTGATGTATTTTATTTATATACAGCAACATATATATATATATATATATATATATATATATATATATATATATATATATATATATATATATAAAAAAGAATATAAATGCAAACATTCATAGCATCAATTTACAAAAGGGTTCATTGCAAGAGTAGGGCAATAGATATTTATTATGAACTGTTACACTCGAACATGCAAGTTACTCCGACAAAACTGCATGTTTGTTTCGATGTGTAATTAGACATCTCATCGGGGGGTTAACATTGGTGGTAATAAACTATTTTATTTAAAAATACAATTTATGGAACATCACTTCTTTTTACATTTTTGAGTATTTTCCATAGAAGGCAAAGAAAAAAAATTATATAAAAAAATTTTCCATAAAAGGAAAAGAAAGAAAAAAGCAGATTAAATTAAAAAAAGAAGCGAATAAGAAAGCAATAGAAAGAAATATCAAAAGTAAAAAAAAGATAGGCATGAGAAAGCACAGAAGGGCGGAAAAAAAAGGAAAAGGAAAAAGAAAGAGAGAAGTATATCCAAATTTTACAGATACAAAGAAAAAGGAAAGAGAAGAAAATAAGATAGGAGTGGTTGTTGATAGCAGTTTAGCCTATGAAGACACATTAAGATGGAGAATTCAAAATTAAACATTTTAGACACATTGCAGCATTTCAAATTTTATGGCATTTTTGAATGAAATCACATATTTAAACAAAAATAAACATACTACGAAAATAACTATACCAACCTTACATTATAAATTAGAATACAAAAAAAAATGATGACTTTTATATATCTATTTTAAATTAAAACCTATTATCAAAAAACATCACCTGTAAAATAATTGGATGGATAACTTGCACGTTCCAATGTAACAGTTTATATATATATCTTTATATATATATATATATATATATATATATATATATATATATATATATATATATATATATGTGTGTGTGTGTGTGTGTGTATAAAATATATAGAAAATAGGAAAGAACTCGTTAGGTAAATAATCCAAAGTTCTTTAGTACTTTTGTTATTATTTAAAAAAAATAGTGCTCGATACAAAAGTAGAGCATAAATATAATTATTTATTTTAAAATATGATTCCAACGCTACATAAGAGTTGTCATGTTTCAAAACCAGAGCCGAAAACTTCAATATAATTATTTGAATTAAATTGAATTAAAGTACTAAGCTCTGTGCCATCTTCAAGCGAAATTTTTTTTGGAATAACTTATTCCTGAAATTTACGCGTTTATGTAAATATGTATGCAATCGCCGTCTGAAATTACGAATGTTATATATATATATATATATATATATATATATAACATTCGTAATTTGTTCGTAAATTGACTTTATGATGTAGTAAGATATACCAAAGTGAGGTAACAAATAACGTTGATGTAGTAGTTCTTGCTGCAAGTCGGAGGAGCTAGTCTGTGCTGCAACCATATAGCCATATCCGGTCATGGGACAGATGATAGTGGTGATGATAATAATTGAATTACCTCCGTGTAATTAATTCAAATTGTCTTCAGCTTCAGCTTCACCTATGCTTAGTACTATTTCAGTCATGTCTATTAATAAAAACGACACTGTTAATGGCAGGTCCGTTGTAAAATAAGATAAGGATGTGTTGAGGTTAGGAGAAACACTTAACCCATTCTTCTCATCGTTGGTTACGGGGTAACAAGCAGAGAAGAGAAAGATACGACAGGAAACAAATTACTAATGCTTCAGAATCCACAGCACGTCAAGCAGCAAAATATCTTCCGCAAAAAAAATGGGCAAAATGAAAGTCTTTACTTGACACCAAATCTATCCAATTACTAGTTTTTCCATCGCTTTTATTGATATGAAACATTTGCCAAAAACCTGGATCTGGACAATGTCTTAAGAGGACCGTATCAGGACGAGTCAAGCTGTTCTGATGCTGATGGGGGAAAACTCGTATGTGACTAGTTTTGACAGAAATGTCCACAAACGACTAGGGCCACGTTTTTCTCTGGTCTGACACGCGTTCTGTTACAAAATGCGAAGCCCGGGGCCAGAATGGTCAGCGATTAGTCGGAGTTCCTCATGGGCGTAATATTATGACAGTGATGGTTTGCCTTTGTCCAGGTTTTGGATATTAGTCTAAAACGGCGCGAATTCAATAGAGCGTCGCAGGAAATACTGAAGCATCGATACACCTCATACACCCACAGAGGAATGCTGAGCGCTATTCTTCCAACTACCACTTATAATCTAAGCTGCCACGATTTTCTAATAAATGAATAAAAAAAAGAAATCGTCCTTTTCTTTGATACTATTTTATGTAGTAGCGTGAGGATCCAGAGACAACACAGAACAAAATAGTTCACCACAAGATATATAGGCAGTACTACAAAAACATGGTGTTGAAACAGTGTCTACATTTGGCAAGTTGTGCATTATATATATTTGCCAACAAATGTAAAAAATAAATAAAATAATAACAGTTAATATTCCATAAACAGTGACTTAAATTTAAATTGTTTTGTCTTAAAATTATCGCGTGTTTGTTAAGATTAGTGCAATTTCTCTCAAAATATCCCCGGCAAATTAATTTTCTATCGCTTTAATTAATAAAGTAACCAAAAGAATCTTAGCATCCCCCAAATAATTAATTAACAATCTATGGAAATTATCCTTCATGATGTATCAGCTTTTGCTATAATATTCACCTCGCCATTATTGTTTACAATGTTATTCGGTTAAGTGTATGTTATGGAGTGTGATTATTTTTCTTCCACTGTATGAATCCGAATACCTCGTCGCCAAATAATTGTTGTGGAGTGGTTTCACAGTGGAGGCGTGTATTTGTACTAAGTCGGTCCTAAAATAGGTTCGACGTACAAAACGTTAGGAACTTGATATAATAAGTATAACGCAGAGAAAACTAGTTGTAATCGCTGATACCTTAATATCCGACTAGCGGTCGTCCAGCATCGACTGACTGACCGACCCACTCAGCGACTGACTTAGCGACTCCTCGTTACTCTTACTACTCCTAATTATAGGTAGGAGAGTCTATTAACTAAAGAATAGGTGTGTTCCACTATAACAGTGTAATATATTGATCAAGATAGCATGAGCGTCAAAATGTTGTAGCAATGTGTTGACAAATAGGACACGTCAAATATACACGTAGTTGAAGGAAAGAAAAGCACTTAATATTGTCATAGGACATTTTTTTAAATCAATTCACCTCAAGCAAGTTGATAATGCCACTAAGACTCAAAGGGCTACTGAGAGCGAAAGAGAACGAAAAGACTTTAGAAAGAAACCAGAAACTCAACCCTAAACAGGAAACAAGAGATAAACTTCTATTGTTGTTCAAACGACCGAGGAGGTCCGTGAACCGAATTTTAGATGAACCTTTCAGCTTCTATTGAGGGAAGAATAGTAAATAAAATTTCTGAGTGTAGGTGGAGACAAAAGATATGTAGAGTTAAAGTAGACTTTAGAAGGGACCAGAAACAACCCTTTGCAATGATGTTTTTTAAAATAGCCGAGAATTAAAAAGGCCCTAGTTGGAGAGAGTATAGATGGAACAAAAGACTAGGTAGAGGAAACAAAGAACAGGAGGTTTATTAAATACTCATATACAGAAGGGAAAAACTTGAATGAATCAACTACTCCTCAAATCCTCGTCTAATATGGCTACTTACCATATTCAAAAGTAAGATCAGTCCATTCTTACAGTCTTAGGTGAGAGCCGGAAGTATGCTGAGTCCTACTCAACTAGACACTCTTAAACAGAAAACGAGAGGGGAACCTTTAATTCTGCTCAAAAGACCAGGGAGGAGTGTGACCTGGACAATAGGCGAACCTACCTATTCCTGCTTATATCAGTTAGATATCAGGTGAATTAAAACATGTAACTATTTTCGGGATGATGCTGAGGAGATGAGTTAATAGTTTCATAGCGAAAGAAAGCTTAACTCGTATTCTGAGCTCTTGTTACGCGCAGATACTGGTATTGCCAAGCAGGCACCCATGTAGATACTAACCCGGCTCGACGTTGCTTAACTTTGGTGATCGTACGCGAACCGGAGTTTCAACGTGATATAGCCACAAACCCTAAGTATAGGTACCTTAAAAAAATCGTGATACTTAAGGTTTAAATTAATTTTTAAAAATGAAAAAACATTCCTGAGATTTCATTTTAGTTTAATTGAATGTTAAAGGATTAAATTTGCTGTTTCCAGTAAGCATCATAGTCTGGAGTATTTCAAACAGAACTTATACGGATTTGAATCAATTTTCAATTTTTTTCAGTAACATCGTCAAATTCATCCATTTTTGTGACATTTGGAAGCACATGTTAATTCTCATTATTAAAAAAATCTTCCAAAAATAAATATACTTTTCTAAAACTTTATTTGAGGAATATTAGTTGATTTAAAGTATAATTAACCTGATTCGGTATCTAGCCCCCCACCCCCCACGAGGGTTGCATGTGACACAAGGCCGAGTTTATCGTGGGTTTCCCGAGCCCGTAGGTTTGGCCAAAAAATGCCCGTAGAACCCGTATAAACGAGATCGGGTTGGTCATTCTCCCCGAACGAGATTCTGCCCTTCGGCGGAACCTCGTCCGGGTTCTTTTCTGTTCAAAAGCAGAGAGTTCGATCGTCAAGTCGAGAATCTCGGCTTGAATCGGTATCTAGCTACCCCCCCCACAAGGGTTGCAGGTGGCACAAGGCCGAGTTTATCGTGGGTTTCCCGAGCCCGTAGGCTCAGCCAAAAAATGCCCGTATAACCCGTATAAACGAGATCGGGTTGGTCATTTCTCCCCGAACGAGATTCTGCCTTTCGGCGGAACCTCGTCCGGGTTCCTTTCAGCTCAGAGGCAGAAAGTTCGACCGTCAAGTGAAACAAATATTTACTTTAAGTTTAAAATATCTTAGAAAAGAATTTGTTAACCAAAATGTAGCGGTGTTTTTAACCAACAGTAGCCGTGTTTATGTGTTTAGCCAGGTGATAACAGGTCTAATTGTGTTCTACGGGGGCTTTATCAGTAAAACATAATTTAAAAAAATGACGCGAGAATCATTTTTATATAATTTTTAAGTAATCTTAAAACGTTAGAAAAATATTCTGCGTAATTTAATGTTTTATAAATTTTAGAAATTTCGGCTCTACATTTAATAGAGTTATCGCACTAATTTTATGATAATGTCACATATGCCCGACTGTATTTACAAGGATCGGCACGTTTATACGCTAGAAAAATCAAAATTCTTTTAAAAACATGGTGTGTGATGATTTGTTAAATCATGTAATCTTGATGATAATGGCGGATATGAGTTAATAGTTTCGTTGCAAAAGAAAACTTAACATGCATTCTAAACTTTTGCCAAGCAGTCACCCACCTAGGTAATGACGAGGCTAGTTGTTACTTAACTTTGTTAATCATATGAGAACAGGTATTTCAATGTGATATGACCGTAAGCCAAGCATAAAGTTAAAAAGGTATTGCATAAATAAATCACTTATGTTTTCGATGGGTCATCTGCTCTTTACAGACAGGCATCATATAATTTGCGGTGCATATCACTCAAATAAATCCCGTCAAAGACAAATATTATAATTTAAAAAAAATTATTGAAAATGAATTCAATCTAAGGAAGGAGTTGAAAAAATAAATGTCATGCCATTCATTTCTTATTGAATCATTGAATGATTCTCAGATGTAATTTACTTGTAAATTCTTCATCACTCAAAGAAGTCTG